TGTAATATTCCTTCGGTCCGGCGTTCTGAGCTCTTCCGTGTCCAAGTAGTGTGATAAGCTGCAATGCAAAATAAATACCTCGTAGACGGCTGTACGCTCGAGCCGCCTAGTAAGAGGCCGATGTAAAGGAAGCAGCTAAGGAAGCACGAAAGAGGAAGGAAGAGTGCCGGAGAGGAATATGAGAGTAATGATGACAGGAAGCAAAACCGACCGACCTCTTACCTGTTAACGTGTTACCGTGACGCCCGCGGACCGGCTACATCACCCAGCATGGCGGACGAAACGAAACGCGCCAAAATGTACCAGCCAAATAACTCATATAAACAAACCACTTACACTGACTTCAATCCTTAACCTTAAGGTATATAGAACTTACTCTAAACTTGCCCTTACCATTTGCATGACCATTCAACATCTAAACTGCATTAGCATGTTAACCCTGACTGTACCATGCATCCGTCACGGGCAACACTTTAATCGCTTATCGTTAGAAGGTCGCTCCGTGAGTTGGACCTTCTTTCCTGCCGTGTATTGGCTGTTACTGTCTTTTGCATTAACGTTGCCTGTCATTCTGTTTCATTTTTAACAGTGTTGGGCGTTGTTTTCGTGCGCCTGATTCCTGATTGAATATCTGGTTGCTTCATCGTTGGACTACAAGCTGCTCATCATGCCTAAGCAACCTGCTGTTTATGTTCCTGAAGAAAGCGTCCATAGTCTGAGTGAAGAGGAATCTGCCGGCGAAATGACTTGGCCTCGCCCCAACTTCGACAGGCAACGGATTGCGGCTGTCTTGAAACACCCACACTTTTTACAAAAGAAGCGATTTCATTCGGCTTCATTCAGCCACTCTGGTGCCAACGGTCTGACGATTGATGGGATTCCGTCGGATCTTCGAGCCCTGACTGCGGCAATGCGTCGTTGCCAGATCAGTGGTACTCGCACATTATACGGCAAGAATAGCAAGAAATCACGCGATGGCCGCCGCATTCCGAATAAACGTAAATAACTGTTCGTGCTAACTACTCACCTAGGTGGCGGTAAAAGTCTAGAAAATCCTGCTGACGAGTTAGATGAGATCGCTTTAGATCATAATGATCCTGATTACGATTCGGATTTGGAAGTAAGGTGGCACAGCTCTTTCATTTTACTTTCAGGATCCCGTTACTCTGGAGACCCTCAGCCCCTCACCCACAGATGAAGAATTCGAGCGCTTGTGCTCTTCTGTTTTAAAAGAACTTTATATCCACGGTAAAACGCAGGAGGTGGTGGTGAGTCATCCTGCTTTTTTACTATTAAGTACGAATTTTTGCACGGAGGAAAAACCGAGTTCTCTAATTGCGCGTTTATCACTCTTTGAAAGTCAGCGAGAGTTTCATGCTGGATGATCTACCAGAGTAAGCTTTGAAAGGTCCAGTGTACAATGGGCTCTCGCTTTTCGTTAGCGTTGCTTTTAAAGTCGTTTATTACCTGCCGGTAAAAACATTCATAACAAGGGAAGAAAGCGAAGGAAAAATACTGGAGTCGAAAGTCTGCCAACAGAGTCTACTTGCGATTTGCAGATTAAAAACTAGGAATAGGTTTTTTTTCCACTACCAAGTTGCTAAGCTTTGACCACGACCAGCAGCCTTTTGGACTTGACCGTAGAAAACCTCAGGGCACAAGTAATGCTCTCGTTCTTTTTCAAAATGCGCGACGCTAATGCAGTGTGCTAGTTCAACTGAGTTCATACCTACCATAGAGGTTGCCGAGTTCGATGGCGTTTTATACCATAACCATTGACTGCACCATCATCATCATCATACACGTTAACTAGAGGTGGGGTACACCTCTGCTACTGTGCCGCAATACACAGAAAAAAGGAGAGAAAAAGGAATACAACTGGTGCAAGCCGGCTGAGCTACCAGTAACGGATGGGCGTCATTCCGGTAAGCTACCAGCCGGCTACTGTGCACCCAAAAAAATTACTATTCGAAATTATATAAAGCTAAGTAATGAGATCGTGGTTGGAGGGGGAGGCTAAGAGGGATGGGGTGGGACAAAGAAACTCACAGCACGAACGCCACTGAGGTCGGCTCCTAGCCATATCAGCAAGTGTGTCCAACCAAACGGGTTCATCATCTTTCGGACCCCAACCAGGGAGCCGAGACGCTCCAACCGAGGCCAGCTCAGAAGTGAGGGCCTTCATTCCTCTGGACCAAGTCATCGCTTGGCCACCCCTCCTCTTCTTCCATCCACACCCCCGGCGCGCAAACAACGCAGGTCGCGGGAGTCGGTGGGCTGGCATGCGTAACACGTGGCAACCATTGACTGCCCGACATAATGTAATGGATTATGGAGGTACGCAAATCGTAGGTCCAGTCTGGTCGCGATGATAGCCAAATCGACGCACGAATTGATAGTAAAAAATTAGTTATCAGCAGTACGGAGGCACACTACCGACGCTTCGCTGCCACGCGACCATTACCAGTCGCGCGTGAGTATACCATGAGGACACCCGCCCCTATGCGGATCCGAACCAGTGGCCTAAGGTTTGCAAGTCAGGCGTGCAATTCTTTCGATCACTAGCCAAATTGCATGGTGCTTGGATCTGGATTTGTGGACTTAATGTTTTACCACCAGTTGTCTTGTTGACGACTGCTCGGTTCTTTCGTAACGTTAGGAGTAAGTGGGGGGAGTTGACACTGCGTTGCAGGGTCGCCGACGTTGCCGCATTAACTGAAACCTGTATGTCGTCCGCTGATCAAGTCAGCAATTAACGAGTGGATTTACCCAGTTATAGAGTGGATCGGCACGGGCAACACGGTGGAGAGGTGCTTTTGCTTGTTAAACACGACCACAAGCACTGGGAAGCTACATTTTCTATGGCAACGTCAAATGTTTAGGTAGTTTCTTGCTTTTTGTTGATAGGTTAGGAAACCGTCTGTGTACCGTAGCCCTTCCTCCACAAGAGTGGACAAAAAATTCAGGGACATCTTAAAGCAGGTAACAGTTGTTGCGCCGAATTTTGTTTTACTTAGTAACGTGACTTCCACATGCGGACTGGGAGCACTCCATCAACGTGGCAGGTATTTTGGAGTGGGAATTGGTTAACTACATTCACTAGAATGTGTTCATCCAACACATCTTGTCGGCCGGTATCTGCGTGGTCTGCACGCCTGGCTGGCATTTATAAGATCACCGTTTTGCATCTGCGTAGGCGTCATCGCGCGGCAACCAAGAGCCGTTACGGTGTACAGCTGACATTCTCTTATTATTACATGTCCTTCCGACGAGAAGTCGATTTAGGACTATTCTCTCCACTTTAGATGTGATCACGACATGACCTTGTAACAGACGCATGCGGAAGCCCCCATAAGTAGAAGCGATCTCTGTGTTACCATTTCGATGAATATGAATATACCGCTGAAACCTCGACTGAGAAAGTTGGGCCGAATCTATGTTAGTCATTGAGTTCCGGCTCAAGAACAGTCCATGTTAGAACAAAAATGGGGCATGCCTAAGTCTGACTTAGTGCGATTGCTGGATGAGTTCGCCCCCTTGCGCCCCCGATAAAAGCAGGAATAAGCCCCGCTGGTGGTGACATGAAATTACTCGAATGTTTCTGAGACATAATACTTGTTTTAAAATCTTTCAAGCATCTGCAGGCTTCAGACAATGGCTCAAATAGTGGAGGCGAGATAAATATCGTTATGAACTCAGTTTGGCTCAGAATGCAAAACGGAATCCGAAGTCGTATTACAGTTATGTACAGTCAAAAGTTCCTTTGATGGAGGCAATTGGTAACCTGACTAGGGAGAATGGTAGTGAGGTTGTGGAAGATGCAGCTAAGGCGAAGGTGTTATTGTCTCTTTCGGCAGTTGCGCCTTGTAGACGGTAGATATGTAATCCTCTCGCAGTCACACTTCTCATGTGACGTTGAAATGCAAAACATAATAATTCTATCAATGGTCTTTTAGGTGTTGACTGGCTTAAATCCTTACAAATCAGTAGGCCCTGACAATGTTCACCCAACGATTGTTAAACCGCTCGCTAGTATACAGCATTCCGTTCTGGACCTATTCAGTTCTCTTCGGAAAGGTAGGCTACCACATGACTGCAAACAGGCGTCTGTTGTGGCAATTCCTAAGAGGGGCTCCAACTTTGTGTCACACATCTGTAGACCATAGTCTGACAAGTGTTCTGCGTAGAAGAGGACATCAGCAGTACGCCGGTATGTAGTATCGACGCTTCGCTGCCGCGCAACCACCACCGGTCGCACGTAGGCTAAGGATACTGCGAGAGTCGCTCTGCCCCTACGCAGGCTCGAACCCGCGCCGTTAGATTAAAAGACCAGCTTGTTGCCTTTAGCCTACAGGCCAAGCAGTACTCTGCTTAAGTGCCTATAGTAACTTATTAGGCACTGAATTTGTGTGTACTGAGATCTTATCAACTTGTTTGGAGCGGAACAGCATGGCTTCGTTAAAAACTAACCTGTTATGTTCCTTTTGTCTTATGTTCCTTTTACGGAATAACTCGCAGTAATTGCTCAAGCCTTCCCATCTTCTTATTCCCCTTCTTGCGCTTTTTCACCCTTATCGTCCCGTTCCAGCTTTACTTTCATCCCCCCTGTTTTCAACCCCCCCCCAACTCTCGGCCCTCCCCACCTTGCTTCAATAGTCGCTTGCCTTAGTTTCAACTCAGGTGAACGCAGAGCGTCATTCCTGCCCTGTCAACAGGCCCATGTCCAAGCAAGCGGCCCATTCCAGTTCATCGGCTTCCATTTGGAGCCCTCGATTCTCCTTCAGACTGGCATGCCTCAATGTTCGCACATTGCTACAAATCGGTCAACAGGCAGCACTTGCCCGAACATTAGAGACCCTCTCGATCGATATCTGCTGCTTATCGGAGACCCGCCTCCAAGACTCGAGCACTGTGCTCACTCTGCGATCTCCTTCAGGTGATGCAAGCAGTATTTTCTTATTGCGCCTATCCGGTGACGATGCAGCTTCGAGCACCGGCCAAGCCGGTGTTGGTATTGCCCTGAGTCCCCGGGCTGAAGCTGCTCTGGTTGATTGGATTCCAATCAGTAGCCGGATGTGTGCGGTCCGATTGGCTGGCTCGTTCAAAACTTCGAAGTCGCGCGGGACTAACAGGTGTCTATTCGTTATCGCTGCCTATGCACCGACAAACTGTAGCGATGACTCGGTAAAAGACGACTTCTATTGTCAACTGAACGAACTCCTTCGCCACAGAAGAAGCTCGGACACTGTAGTGCTGGCTGGGGATCTGAACGCTCAAGTTGGAAAATTATCCACAGACGAGCTGCATCTGGGCGGCCAACATGGTATAGGCTCCCGTAATGATAACGGTGAGCGGTTACTTCATTTGTGTGAGGATGCTCGCTTATTTCTTGCGAGCACTAATTTCAGACACAGTACCCGCCGGAGGGTGACTTGGCGTTCACCAGCCTCGAACCAGCTATGGACGCAAATCGATCACATTGCTATCAGTTACCGCTGGAGAGGCTGCGTCCAGAACTGTCGCTCGATTTGGAGCACAGGTGTTGACACCGATCATGCACTTGTATGTGCTGACCTGCGGATGCGCTTTGGCGGAAGCCCGCGACGATGCTGTGAGCGCATTGACACCGGCAGACTGGTGAATCCAGCTGTTCTGAATGCCTATCAAATTACGCTGTCATCCGAGTTGGATAAACGCTCACTGGATACAATTGAAGCTCACTGGTCTCATATGCAACAGGCCTTACTAGCAGCAGGCAAATCCTCATGTGGTATGTCTAATCGCCAACATGAACATTGGGTCTCTTCACAGTCTTTGGAACTTATAGATGCTCGCCGGCATATTCCGGCTGGAAGCGAACACAATGAAACTCACAAAGAGCTCCGGGCAAAACTCCGTGCTAGCCTGAAGAGAGACCGCGAATCCTGGTGGTCTCGTCGTGCAACAGAGATGGAAATGGCCGCTGCCCTTGGTAACCATCGTGAGTTATTCCGTCATATACGGGAAACGGGCAGCAGGAGACCTGGTGTTGGTGAAACTATACGTGACGAGAGTGGACAGCCTATCCACAACTTATCAAAACGCCTGGAACGTTGGGCTGAGCACTTTGAAAGGCAATTTAATCGGTCGGAATTGTTAGATTTCTCGCCGACCAGTGATCGCCCTGCTCCGTGGGCTGTTCATTTAGATCCACCCTCTCGCTCAGAAGTCGAACGTGAGATCGAACTGTTGAAGTTGAATAAAGCCGCGGGACCTGATGACCTTCCTCCAGCCCTCTTCAAATTCGGGGGACCTGCTCTTGTGGATGATTTATACGAGTTACTAGTGAGACTGTGGGAGCAGGAAACTGTCCCAACCGATGGGAACCGCTCCATCATAGTCCCAATTTTCAAAGGAGGCTCACGATCGGAATGCGGCAGCCATAGAGGAAACAGTCTGATCTCTAGTGCCTTCAAATTGCTTGCCTCTGTCATCCTTCACAGACTGACTAGCACTCGTGAAAGCCAGATTCGTGAAGAGCAAGCTGGATTTCGTCGAGGTCGTGGCTGCATTGACCACATCTTCACCTTGCGTCAATTGTTGGAGCACCGTCACATATATTGGCGGCCCACCGTTGTGTTCCTCGATATCAAAGGTGCATTCGATTCGATGGATAGACATGCACTTTGGGACTGTCTACTCAGGAGAGGTGTACCTGGGAAGTATGTGAGTATTATCCGAGCATTATATGCGCGTAGCTCGGGCAGAGTGAGGGCGGCTTACGGCAAGTTGTCGTCGCCCTTTAATATCTCCAGCGGCGTGAGACAAGGATGCCCGCTGTCACCTTTCCTCTTCAACTTCGCTGTTGACG